CCTCCCCAAATGCTACACTCACCAAAAAACTCAACAGAAGCTCTAAGACCAGTATAACTCAGCTGCTTCTGTTACCTGCATCTTTGCTAAAACCCATCTTCATCAGCAGCTGAGGGTGAAAACCTGGGATTTGTGATGAAGCATAGGCTGAGGGATAGGCATAGATCTCTCTGCTGGCTGCCACTTGAGGGTACCCCCTCTGCCAGACAAAGAACTGGAGAGGCAGCAGGGGAGTCTGGTATATTAGGTTTGTTTAGTTACCGTGGGAGAGAAAGTCATCCTTGGTGCTGTAGGTTAGGTTTTGAGAGGATACGTCTATATTTCCATTTGAATTAAATCTTTCTGTTATAATTGGAAAGACTAGCAGAGTTCTAATGTGAAGCAAAACCACTTCCATGTTAGTGAAGGTTTGTGTTCTTCTGGCACCAAAGTGTTGGTTGAACCACAATATCTTGAAAAACCACGAATGCAGTTGCAGAGACAGACTTTCTGTTTGTCTGGAGCATGCATAACCCTTAACTGCATCTAGTCCATCAAGACCTGTCTTGAAATACCTGATTTTCAGGAGCTGAATCTTCTTGGCTCATCTATGTAATATGTATTTAAGCAACAGAAATAAAATGTATACAGTAATATAGCATACTTACATTTGTTTTATGCTAAGAAGCTTATATAAAATAAGCTAGTGGAAGTAATTCTGATTTCTAAGCAAGTTAGAATATTTAACCACTAAGATGTGCATGAAGTGTATTTTGTCATCAGCTAGGATTTACATTTGAGCAAAACTGAGTTGAAGTTCATTTAATATTGCTGGAAACTTTGGCTTTTTGGATTGTGGTCAAAATAGAAGTAGTTTTCCAAGATAAAATTGTAATCAAGATTTCAGCCATTTCATGTCAAGAGCCCACTAGACTACTTTCTCTACTTTTTCGTTGGTTGGCTTTACCCACTGACAAAAAAGAGGAAATAGGCACTTTCTGGGTTTAGAGCACACATGGAATATGATAGGATCAGACGTGTTAGGAATCAGGTTCCGGGAAGGCTTTCCTAGTAACTAAGAGACCCTTTGAAGTCTTTAAAATGAGATTCCAAAGGCAACAGAGCATGGAAAGTCCTAAAGCATCATCCAGTCATAGTTAAAAATCCTCTTGGATAGAGTCAAAACAAACCCTGATTTTTGCTGCCTTTTTTCTGAACAAAATTAACTAAATCTGGCAAAATTCTGAAATGCAAATTGAAATGAAGGCAGGAATAAACAGTGATAAAGAGTGATTTATTTTTCTATCAAAGATTAAGAGTTAGCAAATTAGTTTGTTATCTCCAAGATTTGTTCAGTCAATCTCACATTTTACAATCATGAATTCAGAAAGTGCATTTTGTGTGCCCACTTAGATTCTTTTGCTTGAACAAGATGCAGAATTTATTTTTTGTTAAAAAGGTTCAGGCTTTGGCAAGTTATAGTAAGTTTTTGTAAATGAGAAATTTTTTTATGAATAATGACAGATTTTTCTGGGTGACCTAACCTCTTGGCTGCTGCCTAGTTCTTGATTTAGTTTTTCAGTGGGTGACTCTCAGTTCTCCCTCTGCCATTTAATTTTCAGATTGAAAGCAAAGCTGTCAGGTGCAAATTGATTTCCTCTACTTAGTGGAGATCACTGTCCTCTGATTTGATTAGTTCACTCTTGAGTTATCACCTTTATGTCCACCAGAAGGCTCTACTGCTTTCTGAAATGTGCGCAGAACCATATTCTTTGGGTACCTAACAAGGTCAGCACTGTTGTAAACAGGATTTGGCAGTTAGCTTGCACTGAAACAGCACACACATATTTCCATAACTAAGCAATTAAATTCTAATGTTTTTTAGAAATAAAAATCTGATACATACAGATTACTTATAATTGGTGAGTGAAGATTTGGTTCAGTATTTAGTTCTGATGTGAAATTTGAATCCACACACATTTAATACAGTGGCTGTTAATTGAAAGCCTTAGAAAATTTAACACTTTCACTATTTATGCTGTTACTTTCATAGTAGGAGTATATATATTTATTCTGTAATTAGAGAAGTTTGAAATACAAAGACTTTAATTCCTCACCATCTTTGTGTTCTTATAGTACCAGTTGGTAAGACAACCTCTATGAATTTTGGCATTTGCCAAAGCTGTGATGAAGTTATCCTTCTACAGACATTTCTCAGTGTGAAGATTGTTCTTCACAATATTCATGCTTCACACCTCATGGGCTGAAAAGAAGTAGCTCACTTGATCTACAGAGCTGTCAGGACAGCTTCCTTCATGAAGCTATGTTATGATAGGTAAAAATATTGTTTTGTTCATATTGTATTTTAGTAGCACAAATTAGCAAATTCAAAAGGAAAAGAGTTCCTTTTATTTATTATGTAAGTGGAAAATTGGGATAAAATGAGAAGAAACCTCTTGGAGCAATACTTTTAATGTCCACTGATCAGTTTGACTGCAGCAGTTCTGGCATTCCATCCTAAGAAACAGGTTTGATTTACCTTTTACTAACTTTCAGAAATCATGGAACAGGAATGTTTCAACATACAGAAATGCATCCTTTTCATCCGTATGGTTTTAAAATTATGCTTTTCAGAGAACCTGGATAAAAATAGCCTCTTTAAACTTCTAATGTTAATTTTTTTTTTCCTTAGGTAAGGTGTACTAGTCCAGGTGGGCATTATTTTTGCTGGGTCTTTTGTTTGTTTTGCTTTTTGCCCCCTCATATAATAAAATTTTCTTTATGGTTATTGATTTTAGGAGAGAGCCATAGGCACATTATCAGAAAGGCTGTTTACATCTTTGTTGAGCAAAAGGTATGGCAAAAACTGTTCCCATAATATTGTACTGTACTAATTTCTTTAGTTTCTCAGAAAATCCAGATTCTCAGTGTCCACATTTTTCTAGTCCTCTTTGTCTATATTTGCCTATATACTTGTTCAACAAAAGCATTTGGATGTTATTCCTTAAGATACAATAGATAAATTAAAGTTAAGATATATGAAGTTCCTACATATTTCTGCTAATTTAAAGGCAGCTCATCACAGTGCACATCAGTTACCAGATAAACCAAATGAAATTGTAATGGTTTTCTCATCATACTCATAGCAATTACCAGAAAAATGATTGGGCTTTTTTTTCCACTGCAATGTAAACGTAAGGGTTTAGTGACTCAAGTTTGACTTTCTGTAATTTGTAATAGTTAGTTAGCATCACTAAATTATCATTAAGTGTTCAGGAAACTGCAAGAGACTACATCATTGGCACAAGAGGATGTGGTGTTCTATAACGGGCTCTACAGAATGTTTATAGGTGTTATTAATGTGCTTAAGCAGAATGGGATCCTTCAGAGAACTGAGAACCTCTGCTTGAATTTGAAATAATGCTAAATTGCTAACAAAGTTTTACTTAAGCATCGTGGAACTAAAAAGCAACTCTGTATAATAAATTACTTAGCTCTAGATGCTGTCATAATGTGTTTATAAATAATAAGACAAAAAAAATTTGGTACTGTGAATATTCACTTATCTGCATTAATTCAGAAGAATCAGTTTCAACAGTCAGTAACATTTTTTCCAGTGATTTTTTTTATGGGAACAACTTCACTTCAAAACTACTCCTATGGATCTCTATTGTAGCAATGCCCTCCTGAAACTCGAAGGGAGTCTTCTTGAATATGGACCAAATAATTTAGTTGGCTGCTGGCCATGTGTTGTCTTTCAGAGGAGTATGGTTATTCACTATGTAATAGTGTAGGAAGAAAGGAGACATATGGAAACAAATTTTAAAAGAAACAGTAACATTAGTCAATGCAGTTTTAGCCACACAAGTTGCCAAGCTCTTAATGTAGTCATGAAGCAAAGGAATAAATTATGAAGCCCACTAGCCAGGCGCGTAGCACGCGAAAGTGCTGCTCTCTTAGGAAACAAGCACTCAGCTTCAGCTGAAGGCTCAAACACACTAGCAGTTCTTGAAGTTTGATTTATGCATTTCTTTTGCTGCTATTATAAAAAGCACACTATTATATACAAGAAATTAAATCATTTTTAAATAGCATTCTTGGGAATATATTTGTCCTTTTATTTGTCTCTAAACACTAGACCAGCATGTCCCCGGCCCCTTTTTGTTAATAATTTTGTTTTGAAATGTGCAGTATAATCCTATGCATTTTCCTGTTACATCTTAATAAAGTAATGCCTTTTCAAGCAGATGCGACGTTTCTCTAAATAAACAATACAATTGTAACAACACAAAAGACAAAGTGGCAAAAATAGTGACTGTAAAAATGGATGTCTTCAAATATTAATCAAGGATTATATAGGTATTTGTGTGGAAAATACATATTAGTACAACAATTAATTTTCCAGATCAGAATTTGTGTTCGCTACAGCTTGATAAAATATTGTATGTCCATTCTCTCTAGATGAGTCATGGTTTTGGAAGAAAGGGGAAGAATATTTTTTCAGCATTATGATCATTGTAATAATGAACTGCAGAAACTATAATAGATTTTGTTCCTGGCTTGGCAAACTATCTAAAAGATTTTGCAAGAGAGTTTACATAATTCTTTCCATAACTTTCTAGTATTTCTGTGTTTTAATTGTTAACTCAAACACACCAAACTTTTAGGTAGTTTGTGCTCTATATAAATGTGGTTTAATGTTTCAGGAGTATTTTATGAGGAGAGTTGGTGGCTATACATTTTTGTACATACAACCTTAGTTCACTTGTTAAAATAGGCTCTCTGTTTGCTAATAGTTCCCAGCTGTAACTAATACATTAACAGATCTACAATGCAGTATTTAAAATGACGCATTTCAAAATCAATAGCAAATGTCCTGCTGTGCGATTAATTGGAAAACTCGTTTTACACAATGGTCAGTACAAGATACAAAACTCTTTTGGAATTATGGTAAATCAAGGAATAGGAAACAATGATGTATAAATTTCTAAAAACTTAGGAAAAGCAAAAATAGTACTTACTGTAGTTGTTGTTTGCTTCTCTTGTCCCTTTCACTTTGCCTCTTTTATCAATCCTCATATACCACTGAGTTCGACAGAAAAGTCTTCTCACTCTTACATCCCCCCCTTCCATATAATCATAGCTTCTGGTATGTCGCTCAGGGCTGGAACAGTTCACATTTGTAGCCATTTGCTCTGGAGTCATGTCATTGCAAGCTAAAGATATAGTGCCCATTAGAAAGATAATGTAAAAGTATGATCTGTAGAGCAAAATTGGCAGGATCCATGTCAGTATCCATTTGTGCATTATAGTGCAGTGTTCTGGGTGTTCATGAACAACATAATGAAAATTAAATCTCAAGTAGACTGTTGCTCTTAGGTCACCGACCTGCCTTCTGTCTTTACGAGTTACAGATTCATTTAAGTGAGATTGCTCCCTCTTCTAGAATTCTGATCGTTATTCCTTAATAGTTAATGGCGAAATAGAAGAGCTTCTTAAATATCTCTTCAGTCAGAATATCCTTTAAAGACACAAGTTATAAAAACCTTTGTTGTTGTGACCTTCTTTACTACTTGAATTTGCTGCTTGCACTGAAAGTAAAAGATCTGTGAGAAAAGGTGCATGTGTAAGTCTTTATGCTCAATTGTTACAAACGTGCAAGGATACATTATGCTAATGAAAAGTACTACACAGAAATACATGGCATGCTGAGCTCATTTTTAAAAACATGCTAATGCATACACAATAGATATCTCTCATACAACTTTTTACATAACCAGACATTTACACTCATTATAAACACAGTTCTCTCTTCAGTTTTAAGTCCTTCCAAAAATCTCCTATGGATTCATTTCAACTCTCATGAATGATAAAATTCTCCTCACTACTTCATAACTATATATTTACTGTTAGCATAGTCTATCATACAACTTTTCTCTAGTTCAGGTTTCAAAACAGATCTCATGGCTTTAGCCCTGTGATTTTATTCCTACCCTTTTCAGTTTATTAGTAGAAATAGTTTTCTTAATTCTTTTCTTAGCATCTAGCATATAGAAATAAAAACAAGTTATTAGCTGTTAGAAACTGTTGAATAATCTTGTAAAGGACAGATAACTTACTTGTTCCTGTTGATAAGAGCTGGATACCCAAGTACTCCATTTCTGTTGTCTCCTTTTTGCAACATGAGACACTCTACTGTAGCTACAAACTTTCTCAGCTCAGAAAGACTCCACCAGAATTATAATTGTTTCCATAAATCAACAGGCTGGAGAGATGGTGTGTATGTGCTTATGCGTGCGCGTGCATGTGTGTGTTGAGCCTGTTCAGTCCTTTTCGATAAATACCTTTGCTGACCTCACTTGGAAGCAATTAGAATTTAACCAGTCAGCTGTCAGTTGAATGCACGAACAAAAGTAAAAGGAGACTTGCATTGTATCGTGTCCAATGGTCATCAGAGGGAGCTATATACATAGTTTATGGTTTAAATCTCCAAGAATCTTCTTTCTAAAAATGTATATTTTGTGCTGTGTGGATAGAATTGCTTCACATGCTAGTTAGTGTTTCTGTGCTCTGATTTAGATCAGTATTCTTATGTCCTTTAAAAATTCCTCCTCCTCTCTTTTGTACTCACATGCTTATCTCAGTGTGCTTTCAAATCTCTTCTGTAGTTTGGTGGATTCGTAGTCTGCTTAGTGCCTTTCTGAAGGATATATGAAACGTGGGTCTGTTACATAGCATGGAGCCCTTAGAGATCATGAGGAATATTTTTATACCATGGATTTGAAAAGAGGGACCACTGCATTGAGGTTTTATTTCATCAGCCACTAGGTGAAAATGAGAAAGTATATTTGGATGTTTCAAAGTCTGACATTCAAACACAACCTTTATCAACTTGAAGGAAAAAACTGCTACTAGGGAACAGCCTTTCTTAGCACATGTAGTTAGTTCTGGAAATTCACAAAGGGAGGATGAAAACTGGCAGCAGTGTAAGAAAATCCCGAATACTGCACACCAAGCAATGGGCTGAAAATCCAGAGAATCAAAATAATGAGTGGATTTTCTGTTATTCACCCGGTTTTCTGGTTTTGTGTACCTGTTTCCCTGTCTGACACCAGACTGCCCCTGTTCCATTTCACCCTGAAATTCTGTTGAGATTCTCGTGAGTGTATTTGTAAAACACATTGAAGCAAAGCTTTCAGTAGCTCTTTATCCTTTTTAACTGCCCCACTGCTGATGTGAACACACCTCAGTCCCTTTAGTAAGTAATATCAACAAGGAAAGTTTGGAATTAATCCAGTTGTTAAGAATAGTTTACTTATGTTTAATAGTTTCTGCCTAATAATATAATGCAGTTTATCATTCCATGCTCTTATCCCATCCCCCGTCCCTTCCTCCCTCTTAATTAAAAATCAAGTGAAATGTAGAGGCAGTTCAAAATCCCAGGGAGTACATATGTGCCACCTTGTGGTGAGGGGGACATAAGTAAACAGGGTGTTTCACTGGACCGATCCAAAATTAACAAAAAGGTGCACCAGGCAAACTTGTAGTACTCAGCCTTTCCTATACACAGAGAGAATGAGTAATTTCCTTCCTTAACATCGACAGCCTCCTTGTCAGCACTCACATGGATCAGTCCAATTTGTCACTTGCTTTGCATTCTTTTTTAACCATTTTCACACGTAGTCCAAAGTTGATAGATTTTTATTGATGCTATCTCTATTTCAGCATACAAGGGCTGTTTTCTGTGTTCTGTAGCTCATTTTCCTACTTTGGCAAGAGGCTCAGTATATGCACCTTTCTGATATGAAAGATGTGCTGCTGAGGGCTTTCAAAGGCTGCATACCTGCAGCTGATACACAAAGAAGTGGCTGTCATTAGTTAACTCCTGTAAACTGTGATCACAGCTGTCTCCAGTTTGACTTCTGGCTTGCCAACCTATGCCACCATTCTGACAAGGAGTGGGGACTGAAGTGACTTATCCCAGTTGTGGCTTTTGCAGTACGTTTGCTGGATTTATATCGGCATGTTCTCTGACCCATTCCACAGTCTGAATTCAGAATGATAGCAATGAAAAAAATTTGTGGTATTCAAAAGGCTTATCTCTTGTGTATTATAAAGAAAGCAATCAAGGATAAAAGGTAATCTGTCTTTTACTCAGCAAAATAGGATGCAAGTAGAAATGTTTTTGTAAATATTCTGGGTCTTTTATGTTCGATAACAACCTGCACTTTCAGATCCGTACTGGTTTTAATTTTTCTTTTTTCTTGCTAACTTATTGTTTCTGACAGTTAGTACCAGGAGAAAAAAATACATACCTGAGGTTTTGGTTCCAGAAAGCTGGAACTATTCGTGGCCCAGGCAGAGGCATGTATTTCTCTTGGCTCTGAAAAAATAAATCACTTGCTGTAAGTGAGTTTTCTTAAGTGGCACCTCACTACAGATCTCTGGAAACTTTTGTAGTTAAGAGTAAATGAAAAGTGGCTTAGATAAGGCACTAGCTCTAATTTTGGCTGGTGAAAATGCAGTTACTCTTTAATTATATTGCGGCTAACATTCATATCCTTGTATTTTGTAATTATAGAATAATATCTTTCCACCGTGCTTTAGCTGCAGTTTTCTTAATTAGACATTTTTATGTCTTGCTAGACAACAAGTCCAATTCTGTTTCTTTTAATGAAGGGATGCTGTCTCACTGGGCATGTGTACATCAGGCTTCTCTGCATGTGTTGCTAAGCCTCTGAATGGCCCAACATGCTTCTGATAAATCAAGCACAACTAATATATCTCTCAAATTAAATTGGTTTAGGTTTAGAGAAGATTTATCTTAATTGACATTTGGTTCTCTATCTGTTTAACAAAGTGCATTCCCAGTCTTTGCATTACAATCCCAAGCAAATCTTTAATAATATATTAGAATTTTCCACCTGAAATGCTTGTGACTTTCTGTTTCTTTGGTGATGTGTTCAGGTTTCAGGACCACAGGAAACATGGAGTGTACAATATGCACATGCTGTAAGCCATCCTTTCATACTTAATGCATGCATTGGTGCTTCCTTCTTCCTGTTGATTAGTTTTCCACAGCATTGTTACAGTGCACATACTGAAAAGGAAACTCAAAATTAATTACAAGCACTTTGCTTCTGTTTCCAAAGATTGTGCATTGGTCTCCAGTTAAAATAGAACTCAATAAAGATTATTCCCTTTTTCCTTACATAGGAAAACATGACCACAAGCACCCATGCTTTCTTCATCTCCAGGCTGGCCTGTTGCAAATTTACTGCCCAACTGTGGCATTGGGTCATGAATGTGACTTTTAAAAAAACTCCATTTTGTCCAGTTTGCCTTAGGGCAACACATCACTGCTAAGAAACTTATCATTTTCTTCCTCCTTATTTCCTGATCCATTTCAAATTTGCTTTAGAACATCTTCCAGAATTTCCAGTTTAAGACAGTAGGAAGATAAAAATCTCTGTATCTGACTTTAAACCCGAGATCTTGGGTTTTAATGCCCTGCAGCAATAGCTAAACTGGGATTGGAAGGTCCCAGGGAAAAAATACCGCAGATGTGAAGGTGCTAAATATTCTTGTGGTTAAATCCTTGTCCACAGTTTCCAGATCTCAGAAATCAGCATCAGATCAAGGCTGACTGTTACTATGTGCAGAAGATACAAGAAAAGTGTTACAGCTTGAGCAAATCTTTGGTCATCCTTGCGGTATCTGAGAAACACAGCAACATGTGTGGAAAATATACTCATATAATGAGGCAGTAAAAACAAGAGAGACAGGGAATATTGCACTTCAGTTTGGATTTATCTTTTGAGGTTGTAAGGCTGAGATTAAATACTGTTACTATGAATCCTTTGTCTCCCTGACTATAAGAATGTATTTTTGGTTTTGGTAACTGGTATGGGTTATTAAAATCATATTGAAAAGACAACAGCAATTTTTTCCTAGCAATTTTCAAAACAGATCTCTTCAACATCATTCCTTTTTTTGTTTCCTCCTATTCATCCAGATCATATTGAGCTGATTTAAAGTTACAGGAAGAAATGAATAGGATGCAGCAGATACTTGGAAAAAAAACCCATTCAAACTATCAAATAGTTTGACTACTGCATAACTAATTCCTTTTCTTTTAATTAGTTACAGCAAATGCGTTTTCTATAGTTTATTTTAGTGAAAACAAAGGCTGGGAATACCTTAGCTCAGTCAGTAGTGAACTTAAAGATAAATCCATCCAGGCTTTTTCCACTTGGACAATGGAGTATCGTGATACTGACTTTTGGAGGGGATAGAATAAAAACAGAATGCAACGACAGCCAGATGAGTCCTTCCTTTCTGAATGGAATGGTTATGTTAGAGCTTCTTGTTATTCATAGCTTAATAACCCTCAACCTCAGGAGATTCTACTTGTGATGACAAGTGATGACTTGTGATCAGGACACTCAGGCTATGTTTATCATACCTCAGATCTTGATGCAGAATTGTAACAGTACATTTTTGGTGGAGATATAAAAAATAGAGAACTGGTATGAGAAAATACTGAGGAGATCCATATTACCAGGTATGATGTTCAGAGGTCTCTCTTCTCTTTCTCAAGTGATCCATACATTTGTAGTCAAAGTTGGTTTTTTTTACCAAAATACTTAACCATGCAGTGATTTCTTCTGTCTGACTTGAAGTATATTATTTTTTCAAAATAAATAACTTGTAACATCTTTTTATATACACAGATGATTGGATAAGAACCAGTTTTAAGACCTGGATTTGTGGAATCTGTTTGCTTACAGTCACCTCCTACAGCTGTCTCCAATTAAATAGGTGTGATACATCCAATATCTACTGCCTCTGTAGATACTGCAGGTGTCAAAATGCTCCTGTGATTGAGTTCTAAAAACCTGGGCTCACATATATGCACACCATATGCTGAAACATTCCTGATGCTGTAAAGTAAAATACTGAAAAGGCACAAAGTCCAGCTATCCATCTCATCCATTCGTCAGGGAGGAAATCATGAAGAGAACAATAATGTTGTTCAATAACAACAAAAACAATAACAAAAACTTAGTCTGTATCGTGGTACGTACTCACACACTCAACCAAACCAGTGTTTATTAAAGTAAGCCTTAGCATTTCTATATAATTCAGTGAGTCCAGGTTTTCACCCGAAGTTTAATGTAAATTCCTTCTTTATGGTTCTCTATTATTTACGAGTGTTGAGATTTAACTTGACATTT